TGTTGGACCAAGAATAAACATAAGGTTTATTCATAAAGTAATATTACCACATTAAGATTAAGAAACTAAATACATCGTGATACATGGATGATAATACTCGCTCTTAGAGGACTTATCGCTATGATTCATGTATTTATTTCTTAAGAAAGTTGTTCGAGAAAGATTAATTCAAATTATTAAGATAAACGTATGGACCAAGTGGGAGAATGTAACGGTTATTATTAAATATCTGATTTAATAATAACGTAACCGTTCTCATTAAGATTCATAATTCATTATCATGAATTTCTTCATTTATTATGGTTTAAATGATTTTAGTTTCTTATTCTTTATGCATGAAACCGTTATTAATAAATTAAATATTTAATATCATTAAGTTCTTCATTATGGTCCAAACGTTACAAATTTGAATTAATTCTTGAACGTTATGAGTTGGTGATGATAAATGTTCTTGATGGGAGAACATCTATATATACATGAGGATTTTGGTCCCTTGGCTCAACAATCTCTTTGAAGCGAAAGGTTTTCCTACACCATCTAAAGCGAGAGTTCTGAGCCGAGAAGAACCAAAGTTCAAGAAGAAATCTCTACAGAAATTCTTGGCGACAATGGCTGGAGGTACGCTATTTCATTTCCGCATTAGTTTTATTGTGTTTCTATTACAATGATTTAGAAACACAAGTTGGCTTCATTAGAATTTCTTACATGAGAAACATGAAAGACTTCACTTCCTTTACCATGAAAAGGAGCTTCCATAACAGAGTCGTCATGGGATAAATGCTTTCTAGCATGCACTTCATCTTCTATTTCTGTAACGAGAGATGTGAAACCATATCAAATTTAGCCGCTTTTCTATCACTGGTCTCATATAGCTGTACCCTCTGCACTAAACTCGCTAGCAGGGAGCAAATAGGCCAACTAGAAAACAAGACTGATCCATATCGAAGCCAAGGTTGATATGTAAGCATCAACTGCTCAGAACAATTGCTCTCTCATTTCATTCCGGGTTTCTTTTGTTTCACCTATTTATTTATTCACGTATTTATATCAATTAAATTGTGGACAGAGGCTCCACACTGTTGCTTCAATGCCCAGTTCGATGGAGCTAGAAAATGATATCTACGTGATACGACTGATGGGGATACGAAGCGAAATAACTTTTGTATAGGAACAAATATTTGCATGTCATGATATGCAGCGAAATTAAATGAAATCACAATCAAATAGAACACCAAGATATACATGAAAAACCCCTCCAATGTCAAAGGTAAAAACCACGGGGCAAACTAGAGATAATCCACTATGAGAATAATGAATATATAAATCTTAATCTCTTGCCCTAAACCTTAGCAATAATCACAAGAAAATAACTGGGATACAAGGATCACGTTACTGTCAACAATATCTAAAACCTCCCCAAGTAATCCCAGCAAGAGTCTATTACAGATTTAATCTAACCTGAGATGAGAACGCTGCTAGATAATTGAGAACCGTCTCTCTACGTTGTCCTTATTTTCTTCCCTTTCTTTCTCTTATTTTCTGTCTTTTTCTTCTCATCTTTTCTACTGCGAAGATCTCTGATATTGCCGCCCTATTTTATAGCATTTTTCTACCTTTAAAACGCAGCCACCCACACCCCCTAATGTTAATTAAGGTTAGGTTAAGAGGGGGTGAGATGTGGGCTGATAAAGCCCACATTGGGCTAAATATGAGCTGTCAGCCCAACAACCTCCCCCTTCAGCCCATAAGGGAGGTTGTCCCATGACTCCTCAATTTGAAGCCATGCTGACCAGCTGTCGGTATATCTCCTGTCTTTCTTTTGGTAAAGTCTTTGTCAACATGTCTGCTCCATTGTCATCTGTATGAATTTTCTGAAGCTGCAATTACTTCTCTTTCTGCTCACTTTTAACTGCTTCCTGTTAACTCTCTGATTCACCTGCATTAGTAAGCATCACATACTCATCTGTAGAGTATCTTCTGGAATGTTGACGTTTTTTAGAAGATCTTCTCAATTGAGGTTTTACGGGAAGTTGCTCTCCAACTTCTTCGTATGTTCATGTTAACATAGATTTTGGATGTTTGATGGGTTGAAGATTCAGATGTTCAGGATCAGTGTTGCAAGTCTCAATGTCAAGAGTCGTCAAATTTGATCAAGTTTCCTGCAAAAATTATATCAACAATATGCTCGACAATGACTTGTTCGATGCTTAAGCTAATAAGTGAATAAGTGGGTTTAGAGGATGTGAAGAAATGTGTACTTAGAAAGTCCTTATATATATATATATATATATTCACTCAGGACTTCAACTTACACATTGTCGTTTCTTTATCTAAACTAGCTTCATCTTTCTTAATACTCTAAAAGATAAAAGAACTTAGTTTAGACATCCTTTTATATATATATATATATATATATATATATATATATATATATATATGTATGTATGTATGTGGGTTTAGAAGATGTGAAGAAATGTGTATTTAGAAAGTCCTCATATATATATATATATATATATATAAGGCTTTTTATATTGGTTTGAATAACGAATAAGAGTAAGTAGATGCTTAATTGGTACGATAATTGTTCAGGATCATTGGATAATGTAAAGAGTTGGTCAAACCATTAAGTATTACAATTAGCGTGGTTACATGTTATATTAATTTGGTGGGATATTGGATCGACAAGTTGGGTTGACAAGATATCTTAGATGATCTGCACTAATGATGACTTAATATTCAATATAGTCTTATCATATATCCCTCCATTATATTTTGGCATATGGAGGGTATCAAAATATAATGTTCCAATTATTGGATGATGTAACCACATTACATTTAATGAGATTTTATTGTTGATCTTCATAGTCGATCGTAATTGTTGGGAGCCAAAAGATAACATATGCTTTGGTGGCTCGATTTGCCCACATTAGGAGATAACAAATACCTGAATTTGATCATGTCAAGAGATAATATATGCTTCATAACTATATTCGACCACATCAAAAATTAGCGATTACTTCATGGCCAAATTTGATTACATGAGGAGATAATAAATACTTCATAATTAAATTCAACTATGTTAGAAGATAATAAATATTTTATGGTCAAATTTAACCACATTAAGAGATAATATATGCTTCACAATCGGATTCTATTGCATCAAGAGATAACAACACTTGATGGATGGATTTGATCATATTAAGAGATAATAAACAATTTGATTCAATAACATTTCAAGATAACAAATTTCTTGATGGGATTTGGTTACAATAGAGAGATCATAGACACTTTATGGTTATCATGTTAATAGATAACATATGCTTTATAACTGAACTTTATGGCTAAATTCGATCATGTTAGTCAACAAGCTAATATGTGAGTGTGATCTATGATTTGTATGGGGTTCGGGTTCAATAATCCATCGATTCAATACCATCTTTTGAATAGAAGTTTTGGTGGAGGAGAGGATTCTTGCAAAAAAAATATCAAGTATAAAATCGAAAGGAAATAACCTCTATTATTCATAAAGTTAAAGCTCTAACGTTGAGACTTAAAACAATGGAATTAGAAGCATGAAAGAAAGCTTATGGGTGTGTGAAAACGTAAGTTGTTTTTGGGCAGCACGTTGGTGCTCTCAACAGTTTCTGATTATTGGCCATCTACGGTTCTCTCTTTACTATTGAAACCTCCTGTAGAGATTTATTAAGTTATATTGTGATAAAGTATATTTTGGATACTTGTCACGAACCATGTCACGTCACACCCCGTCGAGTCAACACGAGGACTGACTCCCCACGTCGAATCGAAGCCCGCTCGGTAAGGTGCACCCTCGGTAAGTCTCGATCCGGAAAGCTTGGGACGACACCGTATGGCACTGTTCTGTACTCACCGGGCGGTGCCCGTACAAAGGTACCATCTAGTCACTCGGAGATCGGTCGTCGCGCCAAATCTGCGTACGACTGATCCTCAAGCAGTAGTATAAAAATCCCTGGCCGACACATAGCCAGGGGCAAGAACAAAAAAAGAGGAAAAGTTCACTAACTTAATCTACGAGGGACCCAACTCAGGAACACCCCGATCAGGGTTTGTGTGCAAGAGATCAACCATCCCGAAGGCGCAACCAGCCTGCCCGATGACTCAGCTCTTCCCATCGTCTGATCGAGAAAAGCATCGCCAACCCATCGGGAGCTCCGGACATTGGCTCGTGGATCAAGCACTCCTCGACCATGATATCAAAGTTCCCCAACATGTTGTTTTAAACATGTGAAATTATGTTTTTAATTATTTAATTATTTTGAAAATTAATGTAAAAAAATTATATCCTATTGAATTTGATGTTCCATTTTTTTTTACATTGTTTCTCATCATTTGGTATATATTTTAAAAATAATTTTTAAATTAGTGAAAACCTATAACTAATTATATGATTTGGTGAAGAAAATTTGACGCACACAGATTTACCCAATTATATTTGTTTTTGAAAAGCATTGTTATTTGAACTTTTTGTGTGTTTCTATGCATTGAAAAATCTATCTAAAACAATATGAACTGCATTTAATGTTTCTATATTTCCCAAATTCATCTTACAACTTTATTATCCTCCAAAATTTTATTATTTATTATATTCTTTATCTTGATCGTCTTCATCTTTTGAAATTATTCTGATATTTAATTCCTTGAACTGCTGCTTCTTTTTCATTCCCATCAACGAAAAAAAAAAGAACAAACAAAAATCAAATGACAAAAAAATTAAAGAAAGATAAGATTGATATGGTAAACAAAAAAAGGGACAGAAAAAAAGATTTTTTTTCGATAATTTACCTATATATATATATATATTCGTTGTCAATATTACAATAAAATTTATTTGAATCACTTTGACTAAGAAACAGTGCGGGGAGAGAAAGTGTGTGTGGAGGTAAAGCGGGAGGGACCTCTGCAAGAGGAGTTCTTACCGTCGGTCGCAGATGACGCGTGTGTGTACCTGCATTTTAATTGGAGCAGCGTTGGTCTCGAGTGGGACGAAACGGTGTTCGCCAACTTCCTCCAGTAACAACGAAGGTAGTCGGTTGGCTATCAAAGAAACGGGCGAATAAATATTTTAGTTCCCCACCTTCTTGGCTGGGTGGAGGTCAATCAAATCGAAGTGGGGAATGCTCCGATTCCTTTCACGGTTCTTCGTTTGCGCCCCCCAATAACATATGCAGGACTTCAATTGGTCGTCCACGGGGAATCTTCTTCGGCTCCAAAAAGGTTCGATGACCCAATCGCCTCTCGTGAGAGTATCTCTCAGTCAAGACTTCGATTGGCTACTTCAGAATCATTTGTTTCTTGTCCATTTTCCTTCGAGCGCCGTTTTCCTTTTGCTTGAATGCTTGGTGGCTGCATATATGCTATGCATTTGTTCTAGTGTTTGGTAAATTTTTCCTGCGCCGGGAAGTACTAAGCTCTGTAATTGGTCGAATCCATGTTATGTTGGTGCTTTGCAAAGTTCAGCATGCGTAAGCCATGCCATAAAGTATAATCGCCTTGGCACTATCGCTGTGAAATCTTTGATGATATTATCCGGTTGTTCTTTTGTGGATTTTCCTTGAGATTTTTTTTTTTTGTTTCTGTAGAATGGATCTTAAAATTTTGATTGGGGTCAATCCCTTGATCCAATTTCTTTACCTGCCTGTGGAGTTTCTTTTTCCTCTGTCTTATATAACCCTTTTTTCTATTTGTCATAGCAATTGCTCTTCTGCACTCTGTAAGAACTGGACGCAACTGTTGCCACTCTTCTTTGTGAGGCTTTAATTTTCCTTCTTTCCTGGAAACTAAGAATATGATGTGGTTATGGCCATTTGATCTAATATCGACGGCCTAATCGGGTAGCGTTTCTGAAACTTATGGCGTGAAATAATTAGGAATTCAGGATTGCGGCTTTGTTATGAAGAAATCTAGGTGTTCCGTGGAATCAGTATCAGATTTATTGTATGAAACGGCAAATAGAATTATGAACGTATAAGCGGAGATGGAGATTGAATATTTTCATGTTGTCCTATGCTTTCCTGGTCTTCTTATGCTTTTTGCAAGGAAATTTTATTGGAGTGGTTAGTACTAATTTCGAGAACCAAAAAGGTGATTGGAACAGCTCCAACAAGATTTGGTTGGTGTCCTTAGATCCTTAGGAGTGCCTGCTTTCAGCTTCCTCTCAAGATCGTTTGCCTTCTTCTTGAGCATTTAGTTCCATTGTCTCTGATCTTGTTCGCTTGCAGACCTATTTTTGCATGTCGCCGAGATGATAATTGTGCGTTTTCTTAAATGTACCTTCTCCACAAGCTGTTACAATGTTGCTATAGCCTTGAGAATATGGTGATTGTACATAGTCTCCTTCCTTCCTTCTTTTCTTTCTGTGAGAAAGAGTTTTGGTAGTTTCCTTGGTGCTGCCATAGTTTCAATACCTTGGACTCATTTTAGTTCTTTTGATGTGAATTTCTTGCTGATTCATGCATTCTAATCTTCTCAAGAAATCTTCCTCTGGTTGGCCTAGAGTGAGTAATTCGTCATATTTTGCCTTTTGCTCTTAGACTGCTTATAATTTCTCATTACAGAAGTTGTTGAATTAATTTTTTCTTTAGAATATGTAGTATTTTCCAAAGTACTTTTTTTATCTCTTTAATTCTCCTTGTTTACATGCATGTGTATGTGAAGAAATGTTTTTTCTATTTAGTTGTATTTTTTTCATTAACCTCCCATTATGGGGGTTTCAACAACACAAGAGTACGAAAAATTGAATTCATCAGTTCCCTGGAGGAGATAAATTGAAATCTCCTGCTATAGTTAGCAAGCTTGTGAGCCAAAACATTACCCTCTCTTGGTATAAAACGAAAATTAATCATGTTAACCCTTGTAGCTAGCATCCAGATGTCTTGTATGAAAAACTTTAGTTTCCCAGGTGTAGGAGAATGTCCTGGCATATATTTGATTACTTATTTGGAATTTGAGAGGAACATCACGTTCCTTAGCTGTTCCCTATGAGCTCTCTTCAACCATTAAACAATTGCAATGCATTTCACCTGCTTAGCCTCTAGCTCTGGAAGGAGAGGCACCAACAACATTGATTTGTCCTCTTTCATTCTTCAGAATGTACGCTATACCTGCAACATCAGAGAGAAGAGGAAATAGATCCATCACAATGTAGAGAATACCTTCTATTCTATCAGTTATGTATCTCCTGGAATTTTCTCCCCCTCTAGAGACCACAGAATGCCCCTTATATCAGTATAATCTTTTGTGCATGCAAGAGATTTATACCAAATAAAGGATGGCTTGTCCGGGTGCTTGCCAAAAAGGGAATTGTTCCGGTTAAGCCATATAAACCATAAGGAAGTTAGCAGTCAAACTCCTTAATTGACAAGCACTACAGTTTTCGATTCATGTCCTACGAGCCAGTCCCAGAGGCACCATGCATCAAATAGTTCAAAAGAGAGATTGAGCTTCCTTTTTAATTTAATTGCATTATTGCTTATCACATTATGAATGGGTTTATAAGAGTAATACTTGGAGCATGTCTCATTGTTATTACCCTCTGAATTCTATTCACTTTACACTGTCATTTTTATTTGGTTGTGCATGTTACTCACAAGCTGCTTGGCACTGTGGTGGAATTAACAAGTAGAAAATGACGGATGTTAAGGAAAATTTTCTCTTTCCTCGAGTTATCTGCTAAACTCATCTTGCTGTTGACTGAGGGAGACTAAAGATGCTAATGGCTATATCCTCAGGAAGTGTTCTGTGTTGTTTAATTGGTAGAACTAGTTGAACAATACCAAGAATGAGTCAGTGGGCTGAAACTGGAGAAGCGATTAGAAATGAGGTTATCATTCTTTGTCTGACATTTTTTCTGCTAAAGCTATAGTTATTTGGATTTTGATGAACTAGTTGCTCATCTTACGATGTCTTTCTCATCTGTTTGTATTAATGAACAGGGAAAGTATATGGCAATTCTTGTATGCTGGTTACTAGGAAATGGATGCCTTTTTTCATGGAATAGTATGCTGACGATTGAAGATTACTATGTTTACCTCTTTCCGGTATGCACTCTCTAGCATCACTTTGGATACACTGCTATAATTTTTGCTTTCATTTGACATTAAACTTAAAGGGGGAATTTGCATGCCCTAAGAAATGGAAATGTAAATTCTACATTTTTGTGCTACCAAATCCAAAATTCTGCTTTTTTTCGGGCTATTGGCTTGGTTGAAACCCCTTTCTTCTTCTTCTTCTTTTTTATGCTTCTATTATCTTAGGAATCAGTTATCCACGGTGAAGATTTACTTACTTTGCCTTCATATTTTAAAATTATTATACTACTTAAAAATAATGCCTTTCTGTTTTATAAAACAAAATTTTCAGCTATTCTCATAGTGTACTATTAAAAGAGTTGTCATGCAAGCTCATAAAATAAGGTATATCAGCACCAACGAAGATTTATTGAAAATCAGTAGTTTTGAATCCTAGCCTAGATTAAGAGTTCATGTTGGAGTGGTTGAATGCTAGAGCCTGTTATTTCGACACTCCTGTAATTTGTAGCCCCAAAAGTTTGAAATATGCCACTAAAACTCTTCTAGAAGCCAAATCCTGTAAATTCTGAATGCAACTTGCTTCACATTTTTTCTCATGCCTTAGATTTACATGTAATTGCATTCACTTTGGATTGTGTTGAAGAAACTTTAAAAATGACAAATTAGTTTAATTGTGGTCTAACTTAATTACCACCAAAATCGCAGAGCTACCACCCAACTAGAGTACTTACTCTTGTTTACCAACCTTTCGCCCTTGGAACTATTGCAATACTTGCATATCACGAAGCAAAGATTAACACCAGAAGGCGCAACCTTGCTGGATATTCTCTCTTTTTCTTAAGTTCGTTAGCTCTAATTGTGGTAAGTATTGACGTATTTGTTCAAAATGACGAAACACATTTCACTGTTTGTTAATGTTCACAATGGAACAAGCCTTCATTATAGTTGGATGTGGCAACATCTGGAAAAGGAGGTATTGGAGTCTTTATCGGTGTATGTGTTGTAAGTGGAGCATTTGGAGTTGCCGATGCACATGTTCAAGGAGGGATGGTTGGTGATCTATCCCTAATGTCCCCAGAGCTTATTCAAGTAAGACGTTTATGACAATCATTTTACAGTTCAAAATATTCTTTGAAGTCAAACAATTATATGCCACACTAGTGTTAATGTTTTTTTGTAAATGCAGTCCTTCTTGGCTGGGCTGGCAGCTTCAGGAGCTTTAACATCTGCTCTTAGGTTAATCACAAAAGCAGCTTTTGAGAACTCCCAGGATGGTCTTCGAAAGGGTGCAAGTACGTAATATATGATATTTAACAAATCTGCAATCTACACATAAGTTGTTACAATTATCTAACTAATTGGATTTTTTTTTTTTTACAAAACCATATAGATCATATTGTTTCAAGAAGCTAACCTTTTATTTTTGATTTGAGAAGATCTAGAAATTTCAACCTGTTATATCTGATTGCTAAGTAATTATAGCCAGCCTATGAAGATTAAAAGTGATGTTTTGATTCTGTTCAAGTCTGAACCTTGACTCAACAATTCATCTTTTCATGTATCATGGGTTTGCTATTTTACTGCCTCTCCTGCATTCCTTCTCATGTAAGAACAAAATCAATCTTTTCATGTCCTTTCTAATAGTTCATTGAAACTTATGTCTGCTCTCCACATCTATATTCTTATTAAAAAAGAAAAAAAAATTATATTAAGTTAACAACCTATACAAAACAAACCATGCTCCTCGAAGTACAAACGTGACTACAACTCTAGAGGTCATTCATTTTTTTGTAATCTAGTAGACTTAGAAGTTTTAGCATATATTGCTAACCAATGAGAACATTTATTTCCATCTCTCTATACATAAGAAATTTTATGTTCTTGGAATAGTTCAATGTAACCAAAAATAATTCTGCACTGGTCATGATAAGTCAGGGATGGTGCTCTCCGTTTAAAATCTTGACCAGTAGCTCCGTATCAGATTCAATCTCCAACCTTCGTATGCCTTCCTGCTGTGCACTATGAACCTCTTCTTGATTGTCATAAGTTCATTGTACAAGCAGCTCTCATCAGGAATGTGTGTGCATACAATCAAAAGGCATCTTCCACTGCTTGATGTAATTAAAGAGCTGGCTCCACCTTCCTTGTCCTACACATTAAATACCTCAACAAGATTAAGTTTGTACTACCTTTCTTTGTGGCTTCTTCTGTTCAACTAGAATGTAACACGCCTCCTTTCAGATGTTGCAGAAATTTACAGCTCATAACTTAAGCTATAATTTTATAAATTATGGAAGGACTAATCCTCACTTCATTGAAAATCAGATCATCTATTTTCTTCTGTTTTTTGCTTTTCCAATATCTGCTGAACGAAAGATTTTACTTAGTGAATCTTCGACTTAGTGCACTCCTATTTCCTTCTTGTGTGCCATGTGTAAGCAAAAGCTTACATTTATGCTTCAATCTTCAGAAAAATATTTCTTCTTATGATTTGTTGACAACTGAATTATACCAATGGCTTGGTCATCATGACCAACTAGTGATCTTTTTGTTATTAGTTACACTAATAGGAGTTTTACATACAATTCTAGCAAAGTTCCTGGTAGATCACGTCATGTTTACTGAAAAAAAACATTATTATATTTCACTTTATTATTCTCAGATTATCTTCCTGCTGACCACCATTTTCCCTTGGAAGCAGATGCCTAGCAGATAATGGCAATGAAATGCTACTTGCTATTATACCCTTAATAAGAGCACCAATAATAGCACTTTGAATTCCATTATAATATTGTTGAATGTTTCTCATATTTGTTATGGCTTTAAGAAATAAAATTATAAAAGTTTAATTAAGAATTTTCTTAGATGTTGTGATGCTGAATTTCCTGATGAACTTGTACCTGCAGTGATGTTCTTTGCAATTTCATGTTTTTTCGAGCTTCTCTGTGTTTTTCTATATGCAATTGTCTTCCCCAAACTGCCAATTGTGAAGTTTTACCGAGCAAAGGCAGCTTCTGAAGGGTCAATGACTGTCTCTGCTGACCTTGCTGCCGGCGGAATACAAACACACCATGCCCAAGGGGTAAGGGTCTAGCGGATATTTTCCAGAGCCTGCAATAAGTTGTGCATAAACTAGCTTGTTAAAAGTAATTTACATCTTCTAAAGCTTTTGCAGGTTGAGGAGGATCCAAAACTTGAAGAACGCTTGAACAACAGACAGTTACTTTTGCAAAATATCGATTATGCTGTCGACATTTTTCTGATATATGTTTTGACGTTGTCCATTTTTCCTGGATTCCTGTCAGAGGATACGGGCTCCCACGGCTTGGGCTCATGGTAAGTATTCCTCAATAATTTTTCTAACTAATTTGTTGTTCACCTGTTGTTTCCCAACATGCATATAAACATGAAGTGGGAAAGAAAAGCCTATCATTAAAGCTCATTGTTTCATAAACACATGCTAACCAGGCAAGGCACGGGTAAGCAATAAAGTGGAGAAACTTTTTTGTTCATTTTAATGGTATGTTCCTATGACATTTTTAATAAACATCAAATTCTTTTTACTAGATGCTAAAATTTCCTCGGTCCAAGTTGGTACCTCTCTTGAATTTCAGAATGATATGCTTCTATTCTCTATCATCAGATCTTTCAAATTTTAAAAATTAAGGTTCACCAAGTCTTTATTGCGGTTCAATGGAGAGAAAAAAAAAAACTCAAGAATGGCTTTGTGGTAATGAAGAGGGAGTTATCAAGAAGCTAATCACCCAACACATAAATATGAAAAATTATGCTTTTCTAACTTTACTTTATAGATAATCCAAACAATCAAATACGGAAATTTGTAGTTTGAAATTCGAACTCACGATTATGTAAATAGTTTACATCCAGGTCTTCCCTTCGAAAATTGTGCTTGTGAAAGCAGTTCTGCATGCATGTCTTTTTTATTATCTTTTCTTTCATAATGTTGCTCTCATAAACATCAAACATAAGGATGTTCCATCAGTTTTCTGTCTCTACAAATTTAGAGATCACCAGCTTCAATTGAAAGTCTATAAGAATGTCAGATACATCTCAGTTTGTTGAGCAATTGTTGTCTGTAATTCAGGTATGCACTTGTTCTGATTGCGATGTATAACGTGTGGGACCTCATTGGGAGATATATACCTCTTTTGAAGCGGTTCAAGCTGGCATCTAGGAAATGTCTCATGGCTGCAATTCTTTCACGTTTCATACTCATTCCAGCCTTCTACTTCACAGCGAAGTATGGAGATCAAGGCTGGATGATCGTGTTAACATCATTCTTAGGACTTAGCAATGGTTATCTGACAGTCTGTGTTCTTACTGCTGCACCTAAAGGATACAAGGTTAGTTTGTGAGGCTTTGGCATCGTAACTATGTTTCCTTTGTACAGAGAGCTCTAATTATTCCTTTCAAGCAGAAGTGTGAGTGGTTTTCTCTTCTTAACAGGGACCAGAGCAAAATGCTTTAGGGAACTTGCTTGTACTATGTCTTCTAGCAGGTATATTTGCAGGGGTGACACTTGATTGGCTGTGGCTGATTGGCAAAGGCTGGTGAAACCGCACTGGTAACACTATTACTTTTGGAGGTTATGGCAAATGTACTTGTATATGTAATAATGCTTCTCCTCCATTCATTTAGAAGCTGCTTAGTTCCTGAATGTTTGTTTGTTTTTTTTTTTTTTGTCTGTGTGTGTCTATGAACGGTTTACAGTTTGGAGGTTTGTGATTTCAAAGCCTCCTTGGTAGAATAATAATCATCTCCCACACAGTTGGAGATTGAATGTTAAACTGTGCAGTTCATATGTCAATGCCAATGTAAGTTTTTCCTTACATATAACATAGTATGCACGTGAGTTTCTAGCATGTCTAATGTTTTGTTCACTTTGACACTGCACTTAAGCTTTCCTGAATGCAATTTTGGTGGCCCATACGAAGTGTTATACCTAATGTTTCTTTCTAACAGGTAATTGTCCAAAAACACTGATTTACTGTCTATAATTTTCTCTAGAACTTATGCAGGCCTGTTGAGATTTTTATATTCACATATAGACAGAATGAGAAACATGTTTGTCCCATCAAACATGAAAGACTTCACTTCCTTTACCATGAAAAGGAGCTTCCATAACAGAGTAGTCATGGGATAAATGCTTTCTGGCATGCACTTCATCTTCTATTTCTGTAACGAGAGATGTGACACCATATCAAATTTAGTTGCTTTTCTATCACTGGACTCATATAGCTGTACCCTCTGCACTAAACTCGTTTGCAGGGAGCAAAGAGGCCAACTAGAAAACAAGACTGATCCATATCGAAGCCAAGGTTGATCTGTAAGCATCAACTGCTCAGAACAATTGCTCTCTCATTTCATTCCGGGTTTCTTTTGTTTCACCTATTTATTTATTCACATATTTATATCAATTAAATTGTGGACAGAGGCTTCACCCTGCGTCGGAGTATGGACCAATCAGCGGATTCCGGGGATTTGATGCCACACTGTTGCTTCAGTGCCCAGTTCGATGAAGCTAGAAATTGACATCGACGTGGCGCGGCGTCGCTGTGGTCGATTGGAAGTTTCCTATTTGGTTCGGTCGTGGCACCAAAGTCCAACGGGGGGTTTACTTCTGCGAAGATGCACTCGTCAGTCAGAGGCCACCAGATGATAAGTCTGCTGAGCCTTTGACCCACATGTGATGACCGAAAGGAACTGGCAAGTGCGCTACCAGGAACTTTCTCTGCCAAATGGGGAGTTAGATCAGCATACTCTCCTTTCTCTCCCTTCGAACTCGAGATAAAGGAAAGAGATCTTTCCGTGTATCCGTAGTGCTGTTAGTCATCACCAACTCCACATCCTCACTCGCTGATCGAGGATGTCGAAGGAAGGAATTATTGAGGTCGTGGTTTCCCCATTGTTGAAGCATCTGGAGAATGCCAGGCGCCGTGTTCTGGAAGTCGAGGGAAGTGATGCAATCTCGGAGATCATCTCACTGTTTGACAACATCGGAAGGGATATTCGAGACATGGAGGATGTCTTCCGGCGAGCAGAGCGATGGGAGAAGGACGTGGTACGCGATTTTGGAGTGGTTGCTCGACTAGTCGATGACATCTTGGAAGAAGATTGCACCCTCCCCAAGTTCCAATCCAAGCTTCGAGTCATCGATGCGGAGATCTCCGACCTGAGAGGCCGCGTGACTCCACCGCTCCAACTACCTCCCGTCGAGAGTTCAGCTGCGGCATCGTCTGGGAGTCTTCCTTCGATGTTCAGCTCCCTGCAAGCATCCCAAGAGTGGCGACGGCTCGAATTGGATAAGAAGATCTTTGAAAGCAGCACCATCTCTAATCTTCTGGTGAGCTACGAGAACCTCGACCTTCAGTTGAAGTTGTGCTTGCTCTGCTTCTCTATTTTCCCAGAGAATGCACTCCTAAAGAAAAGGCTTATGATCTACTGGTGGATCGGGGAGGGACTCGTAACCCCGAAGAGGGGGAAGACTGCCGAGGAGATCGGAGAGGATTGCTTGAGGAAGCTAATCATGAATGGAATGGTCGAGCCAGCATTCAGGAAACGGAGCTCGGCCATAGAGTACTGCAAGGTGCATCCATGGACGAGACGAATGCTTATTTCTGTGGCCAGGAGAAATCAGTTCTTTGACTTCGACTCGGAAGGAGTTCCTCGGTCAGACTTCTCTGTGAGCCGTCATGCTTGCTTGGTGACCGCCAGGGGAGGGGATTCGCAGCAAACCCTCTCGAGGGGCCAATCCAATGCCAGTGAATTGATTGCGCTGTTCAACGTCGACGAGCAATATCTGAGACTCGACAAGAGCTGGTTCTCAGAGATGAGGAAGATCAAAGTGCTGCAACTCGGAAGGTGGCAGAGACAAGCGAAGCACCATATCGAGGTGGAGAGCACGGAGTTCTTGGAAGGACTGAGGGGGTTCAAGCACTTGAGTTACCTCTCCTTCCAAGGCATTTCCAGAATCACAGAGCTGCCGGCATCCATTGGCAAGGTCTCCAATTTGAGGATCTTGGATCTCCGGGCGTGCCACAACTTGGAGAAACTGACATCAGGGATCACAAACCTGAAGAAACTGACCCATTTGGATGTGTCGGAGTGTCACCTGCTAGAGTTCATCCCCAAGGGGATCAGCTCACTGTCACAGCTCCAAGTGCTGAAGGGATTCGTCGTCGGTGACTCGAGAAGCAAGCACCCGTGTCGACTCAACGAGCTGGCCAAATTGGAGAAACTGAGGAAGCTGAGTATGATCATAGGGAACAAGGTGACAGTGACAGAGGATGAGCTTGGCGATCTGAAAAGCTGCAGAGCCCTTCGCTCGTTAACCATAACATGGATCGTATTGCCACCTAAGAAGGCAGTTTCGAGGCTAACAAGGATGGCGTCTATGACAATGACATCACTCGCCCTTCCCGTTGGTCTTGAGAAGCTCGATCTTCGATGCTTTCCGGGTAAGCTGGCACCAGAATGGTTGAATCCTGCTGCGTTGAGGAGCTTGAAGAAGCTGTACCTCAGAGGAGGGCCGCTGAAGAGCCTTGGGCTGGAAAGATTCCCACCGACTTGGAATGTGGAGGTGCTACGTCTCAAGTTTCTAAGTGAATTGGAGGTGGAATGGTCTCAAATACGAGCAAGCTTTCCAGGCCTCGTTTACTTGGAGATCTTCCAATGCAGCAGAGTTCGATCCTTTCCATGCGATGAAGATGGAGTGTGGGTGAAACGTGGTAGGCAGACATCTAGTCCGGCAGCACGAGGAGTTGAACAGAGCGACCAAAGGTATCAGATGAGCTGTTAATGGGCCTCACCTAGGCATAATCATTTCTTCCTTTATTTCTTAGTTTTGAACTTTTTTACTTATTAATCAATTGAGCTACTGAATCGAGGGATAAAACGAATCACAAGGATCACTAGGTGAATATTAAAAGGAGTTTGACCTCTATTATTCTATTATATTTTGATCATGTTAAGGTAGATTTTGGATGTTTGATGGGTCGAAGATTCAAAGTTAATGTGGGTTCGGGATCAAAACTTATCACAAGTCTCAATGTCGAGGATAGTCAAATTTAATCAAGTTTTCTGTAAAAATTATGTCAAGAATATGCTTGACAAGGGCTAGTTCGATGCTTAAGCTAATAAGTGGGTTTAGAGGATGTGAAGAAATATCTCTTTAGAGAGTCCTTATATATATATATATATATATATATATATATATAAAAGGTTTTTTTATATTAGTTTTCAATAACGAATAAGAGTAAGTAAATACTTATTTGGTATGATAATTGTGTAGGATCATTGGACATTACTTGAATGTAAAGAGTTGGTCAAACCAAAGTATTACAATTAGCGTAGTTATATGTTATATTAATATGGTAGGGTATTCGATCGACATGTTGGGTTGACAAGATATCTTAGATGGTTTGCACTAGTGATGACCTAATATTCAATCATACGTGATAGATCGTCCTATCGTATATCCCTCCATTATGTTTTGGCACATCGAGGGTGTTAAAATACAGTGTTCCAATTATTGGATGATCTAACCATATTACATTTGATGAGACTCTGTTGTAGATCTTCACAGTTGATCGTAGTTCCTAGAAGCCAAAAGATGCTTTCGTGGCTCAATTTGACCACATTAGGAGATAATAAATGCCTCATGATAGAATTTGATTATATCAAGAGATAACAGATGCTTCGTAACTATATTTGACCACATCAAAAGATAGTCGTCATTTCATGGCCAAATTTGATTGCATGAGTAGACAATAAATACTTCATAATCGAATTCAACTACGTTAGGAGATAATAAATATTTTAAGATCAGATTTAACCATATTAAGAGAGAATATATACTTCACAATCGGATTCTATTGCATCAAGAGATAACAGCACTTGATGGATGTTTTTTATCACATTAGGAGATAACAAACACTTGGATTCAATAACATTGGGAAATAACAGATTTCTTGGTCAGATTCGATTACATTAGAGAGATCATAGACACTTCATGGTCACCATATTAATAGATAACATATGTTTTATAACTAAACTTTATGATTAATTTTGATTATGTTAGTCAATGAGCTAATCTATAAGTGTGATCTATGATTTGTATGGGTTCGAGTTCAATAATTCATCGATTAAATACCATCTTTTGAATAGAAGTTTCAGTGGAGGAGAGGATTCTTGCAAAAAAAAATCAAGCATAAAATCGAAAGGAAATAACCTCTATTATTCATAAAGTTAAAGCTCTAACATTGAGACTTAAAACAATGGAATTAGGGGCATGAAAGAAAGCTTATGGGTGTGTGAAAAATCATGTTATTTTTGGACAGCACGTTGGTGCTCTCAACAGTTTGCGATCACTGTTGATCTTCGGTCTCCTCCTCCTCTCTTTACTATTGGAACCTCCTTCTAAGATTTAGGTAACATGCAATAGCATTGAGGATTTCGATAGCTAAATGAAGCTCTAGGTTGTTGGAACATGAGGAAGAATGGCTACAATCGGAAGAAGTTGGCTGCCGTGGTGCAAAATTATTTCCTCTTTGCTTCTCACTATTCTAAGGCAACATAACTGAGGTATGCTAGCTCTTTATTTAAGGCTTTCTTGATTTTCATTTGGATATGGGTACACCCTTGTTTTATAGGGGAGAGAGGTGCTTTTAAGTCTTTAAGGTTTAACGACTTTCATTGTAGGGTACAGTAATTAGGATTTTTTTTTAGGAGATTTCTTGTTGGGCACACACCCTCTTGCTTGGTGATTGTCCCTATTTGAATGAGGGTTGTACTAATCCAAGTCCTATTAGGATGTGAATTAAGGTGAGAGGGTCGTAGTTTCTTGGACTTGACTTTGCTTGATCGAATAAGACTAAATAGTGTTTAGATCATCCCCGATTATGACTCCCCTAATTAGGTGATTTATGTCTTATTAAATCTTATTTTGAAGTTGAGAATTCTCAACTTCAGCAACTTCTTCGAAGAATCATCTTGCTGTACTTGGTTTCTACCTTTTGCATCCAATTTGGAAGATAAGTTTGACGCCTTATTGAATGGTAATGAACTGCTTCTCGACGATAGTATTCTCTTCAATGGGCTTCTCTTAGTTGATCATCATATCTTCAACAAATGATAATACCTTACTCGACTCATTATCTAGCATCGAAGGCTCAAACGATTTTAAGTTTTCAACGTTTACAATTGAATATATCTCAATATAGGACAACAACATAAGTTGGTATGCATTATCTCCGATCCACTTCAAGACTTTGAATATTCTATATCATATAGACTTTAGCTCCTTTCCTTTTCCTACGAGTCATTCTTTTCCGAGGTATAACCATATAAGGTCTCATTCGAACCATGGTAGACTGTTAGCACAAGTCCGATATGACCGAAAGAAAAAAAGACTGATGTAGGATTAGCCCAGTCCTGCAAACCCGTTCGAGAATGAACGTGGACCTTAAAAACGGAAGAACCCCAGTCCTCCAAGCAACCAACGTGGACCTATAAAAGGGAAGGCCAGTCCACGAAGCCCGTTCGGGCCTGCTTCGCAGAGCAAACAGAAGCCTGTGTCCAAGAATTGGACTGATGTAGCAGTCTTCTATGGTCAACACACAGGTCCAGTTTTACGTCTACTGTAGCGTCGTCTGACTCCGTGCCTCTATGCTCGTGTGCGGCTCATTCGATGGTCCATAGACTGGCGTAGCGTAATAATTTTGCTGCCTGCATGGGGGAAGGCGTGAGAGCATGCACCTCCATACACTCATGGCTGCGACGTTGAAGCAGACTACTCCTTCCCACAACCCCTGCAACATAAATAATGGCTTCCCCTCCTACCCATACATAATTCCCCGCGTGCAAAGCCTTGCTCCGTTTGACCGCCAGATATTGCCCTGCCACACCCATCTGCTAAGGACCTATCACTCTTCATGACGAACTTTGAACCAGAGAAGAAAGGGAACGAGAAAGAGGGAGAGAGTGAGAGAGAGAGAACCAGAGTCACACAGACAAAGCAACAGAACCAAAAGCTTCCTCCCTCCCCCCTCCTACATTTGAGTGGAGGTGGAGAATTTTTTTTTCTCTTTGCCCTCTTCCTCGAGGACATATTAGCTTTACTGTTTCTTTTGCACCCATGCGTTCGGCAGTCCCAAGGGGGAGCAACTGCTTCAGGTAATTGATATAGTAGTATTTGGCCTCGTTGCCTCTTGATTGTACCAATTGTAAAAAGGAAAGAGAAATGAGATGGTATTTCATAATTTGCTCCACCTCATGTTCGCAGTTTTGCCGGTGTGCTATTCTAGCATCTTGTGATGTAATATGCACAAATTAAGAGCACAGTAGAAAATACGTTTTTTCATGTCATGCTTTTTATTTTCTGACAAAAAAGAAAGCAGCTTAAATTAAAATAAGAACGATAATGATCCCTTTGGAACAACGAGCATTGAAATGATTGATTAGTTCTTTTTCATGTATCATTTTCGTTGGGATTTGTTTGAGATCATGGGAAGATAAAAGGGACTCAAGAACACAGGAAAGCATTTAGAAGGTTCACCGGGGTACAGATGTTTGCCGTTGTTGAAACAGTAATAGATGATGCGTCTTCTCAGCGGGACACCCGTGAAATCATCAACTCAGAGAACACATCATAATTTCCACTTGGCATCCTCGAAGTCAACAAAGTGTTGGATGATACGTGCAGACAATATGTGCAAGAACATGCACATGCCCTCAAACTTTTTCCAATCTAAATAGTTTTCATTCTTCCCCTACAAGAATCGTTAGGCTGCACACAAGAAGACACAAGAAGCGTCTTCTTGTGTGCACCCTTCGCATAGGCTTCTATGCCATCCTAACGATGCCCCGACGGAGATCTCGCTTATTGATTAAGATCCACAGATCGAAATGAACAGCACATACCATGTTCAGCATCTCTCAACTGAGATATCTGTGTCCTTAGTGCCAATTTTACCATTTCCAGTGAAACCATGCGTCCCAACTGCATTGAAATGGGATCATCCTTCTACAAAATCGAATTAGGACGCAATTGACTTCGACTCGGCCACCAGTCGACAACAGCACGCCTAGGATTAGCGGCACGCGACGGGGCCCGAGGAACAGAGGACGTACGCGGGCGGTCGTCTGGGCATATAAATTAGAGGTGACTTGGGTTACTGTGATGGAGACTGGCGCTCGGACATACGGAAAGTGTCAGGTGGCTTCGGCCGGGCATCAGCATGAACTGCGGTGTAGGGCTTCGGAGGAGTGCACGGTGAGCTTTGCATGGATAGTTTACATGGTCCAAGATGGAGCTTGGAAAATTTCGGGAGATAAAAAAATGGAGGTGAAAATTTACGAGGTGCACCCATGTGAGAGGATCTCTGTGCCCATTGTGTACCACCACCACGCTCTCTCTCTCTCTCTCTCCACATTCATTTCCTAGCACCGAGAAGATGGAGGAAAATAGTCTTCCGATAAGCCTATTTTTGAGTGGAGAAGAAAAAAGGAGAGTAGTGTAGCTGGATGGAAAGATACTGGGAGTAAAGAATTAGGGTCTCGTCTAATAAAAGTGTTGACCGGGATGCTGGAGTCGGGACACCAACCCGTAATCCAAGTCAAAACGGAGTCTGCAAGGAACAGCTCCCATCTTCTCGTCTCATCCGAGATTCTCATCTGTTGACTCGAGTGATCATGCCACTCCCGGTGAGAATACGCGGACCGTGCTTCTCAAGCCAGTTCTCGTCCTTGTCCTGCCTCACATATATACTTGTGAACCATCTCGATCAATTACACCTATAGATATACTCTGGTGTCAATAGAATTATCTTTACTACACCAGCTAAGAATGCTACAGATTAAGAATACATTGAGAAGGGAGCTATGCTGTCCAAAACAACTAACCATGCGATCTCTCAGTAAGAACAGCCGAGAAAGAGCGAGTGTAGCCGCCAATCACCCATGTCCGGATAAACTCCTACCAAACTTGGCCAACATAATCCTAATCAATGAGGTGCTCTGATACCAAAATCTCCCCAGAAGAAGCAGCGAGATATAAGAAATCTCCGTGACCGAGAAGAAAAAGGAGAGACGATTGGAGAAGAGAAATCAACATCCGCCAAAGCAGAGGTTAGACCACCAAAGCCTCTGTTGCTGTTGTTTCTGCTGCTGCTGCTGCTGCTGCTGCCGCCGCTGCCGCCGCTGCGCCTGCGGTCCCAAGCAACCCCACCCTTTTAGGCCCCACACGACAGCGACACCTGTACCCTTTTCCCGGCATCTCTCATTTCCGCTCCCCTGTCCCTTTCCCTTCCGATACCAACCCTGTTGCATTCTCCCATCACTACGTTTCTTTGCTTTTCCTTAACATAAAGAAAGGCTTACTAATCACCTTCACATTCCCTTCCTCTGCGGTCCACAGCAGCTTATATAAGGAAAACAACAACAATAATAATGATAGTACTGTTAAGAATCTATAATCAGAAAATTGGAGAGGGTGTGTTGGAAGAAGAGCGAAGTGGAAGTCTCTCTCTACAGTCCTTTCACCTATAAAGCAAGCACACCCCACACCCTTTTCGCTCTCTCTCTCTCTCTCTCTCTCTCTCTCTCTCTCATGCGTTCCTTATATTACGCTGTAATGGCTTCCTATCGCCTGTTCTCATCATAAAAACTCTACCTTTACCTTCCCTTACTCCCCTGCGATCGGTAAATACAATACTACTCGAAGAGGAGCGATGGAGTTCGATCTTGAGAACCCGCTGACGAGTTCCGAAGACGAGCACCAGGGCTGGGGCTCCATATCGGCGCTCTTCGCCGCGGAGTCCGACCACATGATCTCCACCGTCGGTCTCATCGATCTCTCCTCCCGGAGAGACGCCGTGTCTTTGGTCCTCCAGGTAAGGCTAGACATTGAATTCGTGATAGGAAGGCGATGAAGAAAGAGGCATCTTGTTTTTGTTACCGTCGCTCTGCTTCAATCATTGCGGCGTTTTGTCTCCGTTGGCAGGCGCAGTTCGATTGCAATCTGGATCCCTTCGTCGCTTACCTCGCAATCAACTACATCGATCGGTTCCTATCCAAGCGCAAAATCCAGGTATGAATTGCAACAATCGAATAAACAGGAAAAGGTAAGGAATCGAATCTTTCGAGGAATACATGATCTAACAGACCTCATATCTCTGGTTGCTGCAGAGAGAGAAGCCGTGGATCATCCAGTTGCTCTCTATCGCCTGCCTCTCCCTTGCCTCCAAGATGAAGAAGACCAACTTCATGCTCGCGAATTTCCAGGTACTCGAACATCGTTTTGTTTTACAAGATTTTAAGGTCAAATCGGTCGATTTCACTGTTTCATTTGGATTTCCTAGGGAAAGGAAGGATTCATATTCGACGCTCAAACGATCCGGAGGATGGAGCTTCTGGTGCTTGGGACTTTGGATTGGAGGATGCGATCCGTCACCCCTTTTTCCTTCCTAAGTTTCTTCATCTCCTTCTTCTCGCCGGCTCGACCCCCTCTCCTTCAAGCCCTCAAAGCCCATGCCACCCAAATCCTTCTCAAAGCTAAAAACGGTAATCAAATCATTCTTCCACATAAATCGTACCCTAAAAGATCGACTTTTTCGTACATTTACCATTTTTACGTGAAGAAATTTGTGCAATTACTTGAATTAAAAAAAAAATCATTCAGAGATCAAGATGCTGGAGTTCAAACCTTCGGTGGTGGCTGCATCCTCACTGCTCTCCGCTGCCTACGAAATCTTCCCCATCCAGTTCCCGGCCTTCCGCGCCGCCGTCTCCTCCTGCAACTTCGTAAATGAAGTACTCCCCCCACCCCCACCCCCACCTTTGTTTCCTTTTTTTTTCGCCAATTTATCGTAGTTATAATTCTTTTCCAATTAAATGTATTTGCTGATTGTTTTTCCAAAGGAGAAGTTGTGGGAGTGCAGCATCGTGATAGGAGCCGCGACAGCAACGGCGATGGACGGCTGCGATGATTCGGCCGGGATGGGCGAAGGGTCAAGCCCCGAGACGCCAGTTACCGTCCTCGGCCGCCACTCCTCGAGCTCCGAGAGCGAGACCGCCGTTGGATCCTCATCGGACGGCCGGGAGCTCAAGAAGCGCCGGACCACTTCCACCCTCCGCGCCTCCTGCGATCACAGCGGATAAAAGAACAAATAACGGGGCAAACGCATAATATTTTGAGCGAGAGGGATTAAAACCAAAAAAAGATACCCTTTCGTGTGCCGCTTCTTCTATGAATCGAAGTCATCGAGTGGTGGGTGGATGGATGGGTTCAGAAAACAAAAACAACATAATTGTTGTTAATTCTCTGTTTTCTCTATCATATATATATATTTATTATAAAATATGGAATTGGAATAAATCAAGTTTTTCTTTTCTTTGGCAAAAAGAAAAAAAAAGACAGAAATGGTTAAAGGTCAACGAAGTCGCCCGACACGATGCGTGTCCGTCTAGGAGGAAACAGACCGTGGCGGGGTTCCGACGCGAGGTCGGACGGGTGTCCGTGAGGCCGACGCTTGTGGTGGGAGTAAAACCCGTGTATCTCGAAGAAGAGGGCTACGTACATGCATCCATGCTGTTCCCGTGCATGATTCATGCATGCATGGGCTTGTTGTAGTATACGTATGACGCATCCGACAGTCTGTATTATTAGGCGTCGTCGCTAGTGATTTTACAGCAGCACACACAACACATTTTTAGGTTTATTTCTTCGTAAGATTGCTTTTTTAAGTATGTGTTGGATGGCACCAACAACCAACGTATACATATTACTGTTCCGTATGGGATTCCTGATGGAAAACTGCGTGAACATTGTTGATCCAACAGTAGTGTTCGGTGGGGTGTAGGCTGAGCTGATATCTCCAAAGGTCTCACGTACGTATGTAGTACGTTGTTGTCCATCTGATAACGAAGTGCTGGCAATCTGCTCGATCAAGGTGTGACCAGAACAACACCAAACCGCATGATGTTGCTGCCTGATTAATTAATGCATGAGTTCTTCAGATCTTCGATGTGGAGACACTTAAGGACACGGTACAATGTTTTAGAAAATGTGTTATCCAAACAGAGAAAAAAGCGAGAGAAATCAAGTGAGGTGGAGGGACTATGCTATCATCCATAGTCATGCCAATTAATCCTAATGATAATAATAATAATAATTATGATAATTATGATCATAAATATTCAGGGACCAAACTAGGCTGACGGACTGACATGACACGTGTTTGGCAAGAGAGAAGCTGAGCGAAACCAGAGAATCAAGGTGGAGCACTAAATATTACAAGACTTAGGGTGGTGTTCACGAGGGACGCTTGTGACGCCTGAGCAGGTTTGGACAGAAAAAGTACGTAGTAATCTTTGTCAACATGACCTAAACGAGTCTTAACCTCATTCAGTCATTTTATTTGGTGGTTTTCCATATAGTTGATCTTCAAACTTCGTGGATCCAATACTAATTCATGATTACAACCTGCCATATGGTAAAAACAAATACGGCAGTGGGTAAGATGGATTATAGCCATCCGCGTCCTCGCAATGGTACGACGGCGAGCGGAGCGGCCAACCACACAAGATTAATAGGCGGTGAGGTCACGTGCCTGCACGAGAAACAAGAATCTAAACAGTGCTAGTGCGACGACTGACATGTCCCCTTGCGGGAAGGACGTCCTCTGAGATATCAAATTCCTCGGTAACACATAATCACGCAAATTAAATGCCCCCCCCACCACTGCACCACACAGCTTCGGGCGTCCTCCTCTTTCCCTCTGTTGCAGCTTTATTTCTTATGATGATGGCAATGACTTTTGATCTACTCCTTCTCCTTCTACTATCGACAAGAGAAACAAAATAAAATAAAGACTGGTAATTGTACTATGTGTATGTGGTGCTGCTGCTCTGAGCTTGGTCAGCCAGGTAAGTAATTACACGCGAATTGACTTCGAATCCTAACAAGTTAAGAGATGGCCGGGACATGGAATCTTTTGTACGTCCGTTATCTCTGAACTCTGACCACCTTTAACAGTAGGTTCTCTGAGAAAATATACATGTAGGAGATGTTCCAGTCAAAGAGTCCGAAGAATACTACTACTATTGTATTCCTTCCTACAGTTGATCCAACCACCCGTTCCTTTTCCCTGAACATGCATAGCTGAGTCGATCGTATCAAGGAGAAGCCTCATCTTTGTGGCGACGCGCGTGGGCTCATTCAGCTTATCTAGTGTAATCCCCTATATAGATCATCGCAGTCATGAGCACCTGCCGAGTGGACGTTGGTTTGTGTCGTACGGTGGCAAAGCTTAG